ACAGCACGGGCGCCTGCCAGGGATGCGGCCCTCGCCACAGACCGTGCCTGCCTGTGCTCCTGCGGGCCGAGAGCCAGAGTGCAGAGGAAGCCAGCTCGCCCGAGGTGGATGCAGAGCTGAGGAGGGCTGAGCTGCTCTGCTGGGGAGGGAGAGAAGTTGGCTCAGTGACTGAGGAGGAGGTAAGTGGTGGGGGAGGTCGCAGACGCCAGCCAGAAGGCACGATGATGATGAAAACCCGCTGGAGGTGGCTCCACCTGGCGGCGCAGACCACCCGCTGAAAGGCCTCTGGCTGTGAAGGGACTAAATCGTTCGTAGTACTTACGCGCCTGTGTCTGTGTGTGTGAGAGAGAGCACATGTGTGAGAGAGACCCCTGCAGACAGAGCAGGAGGGCTCTTTGGGGGACATGAAGCTACTCGCTGGGGGGTGGGGCTGAACCTGAGACTCCCGGGTTCAGGGGAATATAAATGGCCCGATCTCATCAACTCTGTGGTTCCAAGAGTAGCCAACGCGCGTCCTCCATGAGGGAGAATGTTCTCTAGGTCTGCTCACTGCTGCTTGCTTTCACATTTAGAGGAAGCAAGTAAGCGCTCCTGATCCAAGGTCACACAGTGTCGGAACCTTAACATGGAACAGACCAGAAGACCAGTGGGGAGAGCTGAGGGAGATGCAGGACACCACAGAGAGAGACAGGAGCTGGGGAAGTGAGAGACGAGGCCTCAGAATGACCTGGAGGAACCTGGGGGCGCCATGTCTGAAGGAATCAGGGGCGAGGGCGCTTCCCAGCTGGACGAGACCTCCTCAGGCCAGATCAAGGGGAACCCAACGGGATACGAAGAAAGCAAATGGCCCTGAGACAGAGTGGCAGGGCAGCAATGGATTAAGAGAGGGAGAAGCTCTGAAAGACCGGCAGAGGTGAAACGTGTCGGCCCACGGAAGGCCCGCGGCTGACCGAGCCCATCAGGGCAATGACGGAGGGCGGCGGACAGCGGCTACTCTAGAGAAGACCCGTCCACTCACAGGCGATGCTCATTCAAGAGTGAGGGAGAAATAAAGACAGCTTCAGGCAGGACCTGACCTGACTCCTCACAGAGCTGCCCGTAAGGAGTCTTCCAGGCGTAACTTAAGGAAAGATGTGCGCACAGAGGAGCATCCGAGATGGGAGAGAGAAGGGTGAGCCAGGAAACCTACAAACTTGCCGGTAAATGTAAAAGCAAACAAAATTCACCAGGTTAATGGGGGGGTCGGGGCGGGGAGCAGCACGCAACCTTTCCTTACACAAACTTCAAACGTTCTAGCCTTAAAATAAAGGCCAGCAAGGGGTTAGTAGGTCATCAGAAAACACCCCCACGTCACCAACACTCCAGCAGCACGGTTGTGTTCCAGTCCGTAGAAGGGCGCCGAGGCCCTGGCTGTGTGTCCCATGGCGACATTTTCTTTTTTAAAGATTTATTTATTTATGCACACAGAGCTGGGGTACCGGCCAGAGGTGCAGGGACAGTGAGAGGATTCACCAGAGACAGAGTGGGGAGCAGAACGGGCAGATCGACGAAGCACACTGCTGAGGGGAGCAGCGGGCGGGTCAGGAGAGGTCTGCCACGCCATGTGGTCACCTCCGGGGCCGGCGGGGATTGAACCCATGCGGAAGTGGCTTCAGCTTCTCCGTGCTGTGCTTTAACCTGCTGCGCCACCAGGGAGGGCCCTCATGGTGACACTTTCTAAGGTACTATTAGCCATCCTGTATCATACGCATCAAACATTAGATAATAAAAATTTTAAGTGAATAAAAAGAAGTGAAAAGTTATAAATGAGGATAAACAGAAGAAGAAATCCCAGTGGTGCATAAACACATGCAAAGATTCTCAATCGTAGTGGTAGCAGGAAAATGTAAACTAAGGCCACCCCAGTAAGATCCCATTTCACATCCATCTGACTGACTAGAACTAAAATGCCCGGAAAAAAAAGAATTAAAAAGCCTGACGAGGGCCTCCCTGGTGGCACAGGGGTTAAGTGTCAGCACTATGAAGCTGGCTACTGCCACTGCAGCACAAGTTCGATCCCCGGCCAGGGAGTGACCTGCATGGCGCGGCAGACCTCTGCTGTCTCCCCGCTGCGCCCCTCAGCAGTGGACTTCATCGATCTGCCTGTTCTGCTCCCCGCTCTGTCTCTGGTGAATCCTCTCACCTCCACACCTCTGGCCTGTACCCCAGCTCTCATGTGCATAAATAAATAAAATAAATCTTTACAAAGCCCGAAGACTCCAGGCTCACCAAGGCATCCCCCGCAATGCTGGTGGAGGTTTACTGTGCTGCAGGGGCGCGTCTTCTCCACCTGACACCCGGAAGAGGCAGGTTTGCGTCCTCTGTCCTCAGCAATTCACAGAGGGGTGTGTACCCCGGAAAGCCCCAGAGGGAGGACCCTCACAAGAATGTTCCAGCAGCACTGGAAACTCACCTATGGTCCACCTTGAAAGAAAAGGGAGGTGAGGCCTCTGATTTGCCCTGGGGGTGTGACACAGCAACAAGGAGTCCAGAAACCCACTGTTCAGTGAAAGCAGAGGGGTGAGGCCCTCTGACCGGGTGGGGGAGGAGGGGGACAACCCGCAGGGTGAGGACGACCCATGGGGTGTGGGGCTCTGACCCAAGGAGTTGGGGTGGACGACCCGCAGGACGAGTGAAGTCCCCTGGCCGGCTCAGAGCCACGCCACACTGTGCTGGACCATGTGCTGTGGGTCAAGTGCCCAAGAGGCCCAGGGACGACTAGGACCCAGACTGGAGGGAGCGAGCCAGGAGCAAGCACGCAGCCGAGCCAGGCGCTCACAGTGCCCATCCCGTCCCGGACGGCTCCTGCCTCTGCGACTCATACGCGCCCCACCGGTCACGCTCTAGCCCCCCGATACAGAGCATGCTACATGACCAAAAGTCTAAAGTTTAAGTATGAAGTAATAAATTGGAAAAAAATGAAGTAAATC